GCTTCTCAATATACAAGCTGACCAACACTGCATTACCTGCTAACAGATGGATCATCTTGCGGTAGTGTCGGACACTATCGTCGGTGTGGGTCGGAGGGCCATAAGCTGAGCTTAAGCTATGGCTGCTGTGGTCGTAGACTCACCCGTGTGAGAGACCACAGAGCTCGTGAGAGTGAGATGGAAATAATAAATGCGCCGCAGGGCGAAATTACGAAGGAAGTCAGCGTTGCGCCTTGAGTTTGACAAACTCGAACCGAAGATGGTGTTTCAACGCGCACGTCCACCTCCTTGTAGCTCGGATGTAAGTTCGACTGCGATGAAAGCTCCCGGTGCCGCTGCACCCATCGCTCATGAAGCTACTTATCATCTGCAGCGGTTTTGCCAAGGGCGAGCACCACAGGAATGGTCCGCAGTGCGGGTACACGAGCGCCTCCCTTTTGAGCTTGAAGTCGAGCGCGGTACCGATCCATTGTCGTTTCTTGTGGTATCAAAAGTGAGCCCGAAGAGCTTTCCGCTGATCAAGCTTAGCTTGTGTACTGGCCGGGGCCCGCCTACGTAGACGCCCAACGATCGAGTGATCGCGTCTTTCGCTATAGTAGCGAGATCCGCCGAGCGGAAGCCGTACTCCCCACGAGGGTCGTAAGCCGAACATGGATACGAGCGCATGAGAGCCGCCCTGTGGGCAGCCTCCAATTGCTGCTTCTGTGCCTCGTTGAGGAGGTTGGCAATAATACCACTTCCCCCTGAAGCCGAGAGTGGGACACGGTGTCCGCTAGGTTCGAACTGGGTTCACGTCACGCCATTGGCTTCATCCTCCTCGTCTCTCATAAACTATCGACTTTTATGAATAGTTTGACAAAAATTGAATCAAAAATCGTCATGCTTAGGAATACAAGTCACCGATTGTACAAGAGAATTCTTTTGCAACCGCAATATTGATTAGAAGATACCACTCATGCTGGGAAAGGAGTATTGCACTCGTAGTCGACTTCCTCCAACTTCTCGACAAGGAAATACGTCACCCGGGGCGGGCGCGGTGTGCTGCGCTCAGTTGCCGAGGGCTTGTGATGTGCTTCCCGTGAAGCCGCGGACGTACTGTCTGGAGATACACCCTGTGCAGAAGAAGAAGGGCTTTGCCTGCGGGCGCTCGTTACCAGCTAGGCTGGGCATTTTTGCGTGTCGTAGACACAGGGCTCATAGAGCGGAGAAAGTTTAAAGTTGTTCTTAAGAACGTGAAGGTGTCTCAGACACGCGAGCCTCATATAAGGCGACCGTTAAATGTGATTTGAGGATTTCACAATTTTAATGGGGAAAAGTGTAACGAGGTTATACGTACCCTTGTATGAAAGGGCGGGTCGCACAAAATGGTGTGACCGTACATAGTTGTGAATTACACAAGTTGGTGTAATCACACAGTGGTATGGCCTCACCGTAACAAGAAGCCACCACATGGCAGGATTGCCAGTAGTAATGCATATTACTATATTAATTAGGTTTCCTATATACATTAGGTTTTACTATTTTAATTAGGTATTACTATTTTCATCAAGAACTTCTGGGGGGTTGAGATATTGGCAGCTCTGCCGCAGCTAAAACGATTAAATACAGTTTCAATTTTGAGCGGAAGAGTTCACCTACCTTGGTTAAGGTTTTCAGTACTCTTGGAGGCAGCGGATTGCGGTCCGCTGCACTTGTACTGGTTATTATAAAGAACGTAAGGTCGGTAACCTTAGCTTAGCTTCCTTTAATCAAAGAGCTACGGCAGCCCCGCTGCAATTTCTCTGTACTCCATCACCATTTGAATTCTTGTGAATGAAATTATTGAGGAGTTGTGCCATGTTGGCATTGTTTGCAATTTTTTGGTCAAGTAGCTGGCCAGACCAAGCAACTTCACCCTTTGGGACAGAGATATTAGCTGATCTTCGGTTACCTTTGTCTTCACGTGATGTTCCCGCGGCCCTTCTTGCCAATGAAGCAACCCAAATGAATAATTTTGTCGAAAATTCAGGTACCGCTGGCAAGTATCTTCATTATACCACATCACGTGTTCTGCAGCCGAGAGCCTCAAAGGGAACCACTCGTTTGTTTTCAAGAGTACATATGCGTAAGTCTAATCTTATTATACTGGTACTAAATATATACGCTGAACTATCTCTCATAAGGGTCGTCTTTTATTTTTGACGTGTGGCTAGCAGCCCACGTTTATCATAAACCCCTCCTTTCCAGAGTTTCGTCATCTTTTAGGCACTTAGTGGATATACCAAGTGTAATGGAACTTGATACAATTGAACTGTATTAAATTGAATACAGTTGTACTGAATTTGTACTGAATATATGAGGTTAGGTAGCAAAATGCAGCACATACAACCTTACAGAAATTTTCTACAGCGACATAACTAACACAAAATAACAAGCAACAAAAGATGATAGTTGTGTCCCGAAGTGGTTGGGCATTACTCGCGTTGTAATCTAGAGCTGCGACATGTTCATCATGTCTGTCGTCGATCATGTGTTGTCTTTCTCCCCTGGCCTTCGCTGTCTTTATCGCCGACCTTTGACCTTACTCCCACGGCGTCTGGCGTCGACAATTTTGTCGAGTCTTTGCTTCCTCCAAAGCTACCTCCAAAGCTTCGACAGCAATGTCGACGCAAGAATAAGACTTTAACTCAGACGAAAACAGTGAGAGTTCGTATGTAAAGAACAAAAGAATGTAGTAGAAAATTTCGACTCTCACGATTTCTTACGGTAAAACAGTAATTTTCCAGCAACACAAAGGCCTCGTAGGCGCATCATCGTGCTGTCGAACCGGGTTGCAGCCGTCGAGAATACATTCATGATTTGAAGATGGTCAGTATTGAGGATTTAGGACAGTACTTATCGCTTTGTCGCTTAATGATCATGTCATATTGATCATTTTTATCGCGAAATTTCGCTCCCCGGCCTGACGAACGGAACATCATCACCATACTTAGCCAGCGCCTTTTTTTGGGCAAAACTTATTTTGATTGCTGCCGTTGGTTACGCTCAATAAGGGTGCCATCAAACTGGAGTGAAGCTTGATATTGTGCAGCGCAATCTAAACTTCCCGCAGAATACTTTACCCATATTTTGCGTAGTTGTGGATATTTCGACATATCTTGATCTTGTTTGACTCGTTGTATACTGTTTACTGTTCCTGTTGTGACTTAATCTCTACATAGATCATCCGCTCGAGGAAATGGAGGGTGATTATCGTATTGATGCAATAATAGCGTTGCAAAGGTTTTGTTCCATGTGGCACACACGTGGATGACGGCAATGCGAATAACAGCCGCTGTACATTCGCTTCAGATCGAGAAAGACCAGCAAGGCAACAAGCGCTGTACAGTGAATAATGGGGCCGCGTGAAGAGAAATTGAGTAATGTGCGGTCGCCGATGGACAGCAAAAAGCGCATTAAGAAATTTTGCAACGTCGTGTCCCCGCTGGACCCGGCGGATGCGCGTTCCGGCGTACATAGCTCCGAATTTCGGGGTTTATACAATCTGGCAATGTTGGCTGGAGTGCTTTACGTGTTTACAACGCTTTTGACCAATTTGCTTATGAGAAATCAACCAGCCGACTTAAAGCTCTTAACATCGGTTTTTTACTCGACCCATCTACTCGAGGTGCTCGCTACTTTTGTGTGTCAAGGTCTATACGCCTACACGGCTCTTATCCCAGTATACATGGCGGGGACTAAGCGGTTCTCAAACCGACTAACGATAAATATTGTGCACCATATTTTGCAGAGTCTGCTATTTTTCTTTACGATTGTTTTTATTGTGTGGCGCGATTGGAATCTCATCCATGCTGTCTCTGCGTTCATTGAAGGGCTCGTGCTGCTCATGAAGATGCATTCCTACATCCGAACCATGCTCGAGATATCGCGTGCTCAAAACAAAATACCATCGCTAGATGTTAAAGACTTTACTATGTACTTGCTCATCCCGTCGCTCGTGTACGAGCCAAACTTTCCACGCACAGACCGAATTCGCTGGGAATACATCGCCGAAAAGGTTTTTGCCCTTATTATGGGAATTTCGATGCTTTACATCATTATTACGACTCAAGTGATGCCTCGATTGGAGGATTCTGGCACTGTGAGTCCCATCTTATCGATCGTGAGCCTCTTGCTTCCTTTTCTTGGCTGTTACCTCCTCACGTGGTTTGTTATCTTCGAATGTATTTGCAATGGCTTAGCTGAGGTAACGTATTTGGCTGATCGAGATTTTTACGGTGATTGGTGGAATAGCACAACTTTTGACGAGTTTGCTCGCAAGTGGAACAAACCTGTGCATGAATTTCTACTACGACATGTCTACTTAGAGACTTTGGATACGTACAATGTTTCTAAGGCTAATGCTACTGTCCTCACCTTTTTTATGTCTGCAGCACTTCATGAATGTGCCTTTATCCTCATGTTTCGCACTGTCAAGATGTATTTTTTTACTCTCCAAATGGTTCAGTTGGTTATCATCGTCCACGGTCGCGGGCTCCGCGGCACACGTTTAGGCAATTTTACCTTCTGGCTCGGTATGATTGTAGGTCTCCCGTTACAAGCCGTTATTTACAGCCGAGAGTATCACGGTGGCGAGCCGATCTTCATGGTCATCATGATGCCTGCTATGATTTTTGGCTTTGGTGCTATTCTCATTGCTTCGCTCATGCATCTCAGTCGATCAACAGAGAAACAAGCTTAAGTGTGAGGATACTTAAAGGTAAATGTTTTTAAAGTTAACAGAATGGCAGTTAATGTACCAGAATTCACTTTAAAAAGTTTGCATTAACCTCTTGTCGAAGATAGCGTAGCCGAACGTGATCAAATGAGATCTCCAGGAGTTCGCAGTTGCAAAGTTTTCTTCTCATTGCTAGCATGCGCTTAAAGAAAGATGAGTGTCCCACTATAGCGATGTGCTGCTCAGGTCTTTCTTCCAACTTGGCCACAAACTCACGAATCCGTACATCTACATCTTTCGCCGTTTCTCGAAGAGGGAGCACTTCATCCGGAGTTGATGGGATTAAAGTCTTGCCCGAAGATGTATCGTCAGTTCTCAATCGCGCAACATTTTTTGAGTCCAACCACCAAATTGGGTCTAGATTCGAAAAGTCGAGATCTGCTTGTGACAGGAACTGCTGCGCCAGCTCAGTCGGTTGGCGGCCAATATCGCAAGCAGTATCAAGCATTTCACGACACGATGAATCTACTACGAAATGACAACCACGTTAAGAATCAAATACCAGACAAGACTTTCTGTATTATGATTGTACCTACGATGGGAATTTTCGTGTCAGGAAAAGCTTCAATTGTCGTCTCAATCGCTCGAGTCAATGGACTTGTTATGATCTGCAACTCTAAGCATAAGCTATTAGTTAATTTGTTTAATTATATTCGATCGCACCACTTCGATTATATCCTCGAGATGCTTGGATTGAATTAACTTGTGAAGCTTGGCCACCTGTTCTCGACCCGTTGCGCTTAATGGTGCGTCCACAATCATCGGATCACGCACAAAGATCCATGAGAAGTTCCATAGGCTACGTGTTCGCCACTCATTGAACGTAGACTCGCCGTGGCGGATTAAGTACAGCGTTTTGGTGGCAGTGATGTCGCTCATGAGTTGTTACAAAAAAGAAGATTTTCAACAAGAAATTCATTTAGGGTACATTGCAACAAAATGCTTTAGTTAACTACAAAAACCTCGGATGGGAGATCGATAACGATGAGTTTGCCTTCAGCGGTGCCACATATCAGGGCTTTGCGATCTGGCCAGCACCTAAGACACTTAATGCATCCATCGACTCTACATAGCGGTTATGTAAGCTAAAGTTTATGGTGAGTACATATTACAAGCAGTCACCCACTTATATCTGAATACGATTTTTCCATACGCGTCGTACGCACTTTGGTCCTCAAAAGTCGTGTAGTCCCAGACAATGATCGTTCCATCGGCTGCTCCGCTGAGAACAAGTCCGCGGCCTGGCACTGGGTCCAAGCACACAATGGGGGATTCAGATCCGGATGATGACTTCGAATTTGGAGGGCGTAGCACACCGAGCTCATACGTTTCACCTGGGCTCAAGATGTTCCACATGCGAAGAAGCGTATCATCCGATCCTGAGAAAAGAACACAACCGTGCATGGTCAAACTGCACACCGCGTCACTATGACCTTTAAACGAGCACATGAGTGCCTTCTTTGCAAAACTCCATACCTGCAAAGCGAAGTGAACCAAAAATTAATTGCATGAATGTATAGAGCATCAAAACTGGCATACATTAATCTGGCCTGTTAAGACACCAGCTACGAAAAATTCGTGACCTTCTCGGCCGAGAAAGCTGCCATTACAGAAGAGTAGTGCGGTAACTTCTTCTTGTATTTCAGACACAAGTGTCAGCTGAAATGGTACTCCTTGCAGAATATGATCGAAGTTTACTTCCCACACAAAAACACTCCCGTCGCTGCTTCCTGCAAGCAAAACTTCCTGATTTCGAACGGCCCCCACTGGCTCAAATCATTAGCCAATTACTCCACAGACACATTTAGTACCATCACTTACCTGCCAAGCAAATGACGGGGCCATTTGCTTTGGCTATTATTGCTGACTCATCGCCTGCGTTGATGCTCCATACTTTGACAAATCCTTCAAGGTGCCCTGTGAAAATTTTTTGAAAACGCTTTGATGCCACCATGCAAGTCATTTCTGAGTCTTTTTCATCAAATTGAAATGACGTTTTCATGTCATACGGGTCCCAACATCTTATTGAGCCATCTAGTGAAGCACTTAAAATTTGCCGAGTGCGCGCACTGCTGACTTTGTCTCTTAGTAGGACCTCAGGTTCATTTAGATCAGTTTGATCATAATTTTCTTCGCTCGCTAGCGAATCGATACCATCACCGATCAAGACGACTGCAACAACTGCGTCGGTGTGACCACGAAAATAAGCATACCCAGCGTTGTGATTTATGAGCCATTGCTTAGCACCATTGGCCAAGCCTGTAAGTAAGAAATCGCCTGAGGGGCTAGGCAGCATATACATTCCTACGATAGCCAAAGGCGGTGCTGGAACCATTCGTCTCTTATCCACCAACTTGTCTTCGAAAATATTCCACAAGTGAATATAGCCTGCTGCATCACCAAGCAGTAAAGTGTGGCTTCTTTCATTCCAGGTGCACGAAATAAATCGCGCAGCTTTAGAGCTGCAAATTGCATAGGAGAGAGCACCCGATATAGCGTCGATAATTTGAGCCTTTTCGTCGTACCCAAGAGACACCACGAAGCAGTTGTCAGCGATCAACTGAAGTCTCGAGATTCCAAGCGAGTGGTATTGAGAAAACTTTCGCTTGAAAGAAAACCTAGATTTGGCATTGAAATGATGACTTGAGTGGTTGTCATCCACGTTTTTTGCCGTCTTGGTGATTGCGGCGCTTTCGAAAAGCTGTGTGTACATTGAAATATTTCCATCTGAATCGCCGACAAACAGCGATTCAGAGCGTACACAAAGCGCCGAGGGCCAACCACTTCCTGGTTGTATGATAGTCTGGGCTGGAAGGTACCATGGGTAGATTCGCGAAGCACATCCCATCGCTGAATACCACGTCTTGGTGGTCCGATCCAGACTACAGCTAACAATGCCATGGCTGTGCTGTTTTAAAACTCGCAAGCATACGACACTACCGCAATGGTTGTCGAGAGTTTGAACGCACGAATTTTCGATATGAGTAGTCAATGAAGAAGTCTCGACGCTACTCCATGGGTCCCAAATCCTAATGGATCGATCAGCTGAGCCTGAGAAGAGCAAACCTTTTGGCCCCAGATCTGGTGCGAAGTCAAGCGTAAGCACAGCACCTATATGTCCACGCAGCGTATTTTTCTTCTGACGATATCGCATACAATACTTAAGTAGTTCAATCCATGATAGCGAACTAGCTTACACTTTGATTTGACACGTTTTGAGCCTGGGCGAGAGGCCAGTGCATAATGAGACCATCATGCTGCACAAAACAGCTAATTAAGATGTTGAGATATACAAGAAGCTTGGTCACTAACTCTACCGCCATATAATTCCTTTGAGGAATTAACATGATAGCTATCGAAGGCAAAGTTTTCCTCAAATATCTAGCAAGGTGAATTAAGGAGAATATAAAAAAGCATAGATGCTGCCAACACTCTGCTTACTGGTGATAGTCGTTCTGCGGGCGACTTTCGGTCCTTTCGGCTGCTACTGTGAGATCCCTGCCGCGACTCAAACTTTCTTTTTAATTCCTGGGGACCATCGCCATCACTGATGCTCGCATCGTCGTGCGCATAAGTTTCCCACAACTCGAATTCAATCATTTCTAAATGTTTATGCGGTCTAAACGTTAACGCCTTTTCGAGATTTCACGAGCGGGTGTCTATTTGCCAATGCAAAAGTCGGCAAAAAGAGCATCCAAAACTTCTTCAACGTCGATCCGCCCGAGGATACGGCCAATCGCTATGACAGCTTGACGTAAATTTTCTGCTGCAATTTCACTGTGATGAAAGTTACTCAAAAATTGATCCAAAGATGAGAGACACTCCGTGAGATTTTGTCGGTGGCGCTCTCGTGTGATTAACGCGCTATTTGTCCGACCTCCTGCAGATACCTTTAATCTGATGATCGAGACAGAAAATAGGTTAAACCGTAGACTCAAATCATACAGCAAAGTACCTACTTATCTTGAACTGTCGATGCAAGTCTATCAACGAAAGTCCCAATATTGTTCCCCTCTGTACAGGAAATTACGAGCAATTGGTCGCGTTGCCCTGAGTCAAAACTTTCAAGCACGCTTGCAATCTGATTCTCATCCACCTGATCGCTTTTGTTAAGCACAACAATTGCACCGTCTTGCAGATAAGTCTTGTATTTATCATTAAAAAGTTGTCCGGCATTCTGCACAAAAAGAAAATTGAGATCAACTAGCTTCTTGTGTTTAAGACGTGACATCATACCTGTATATCAATCATGACCACGCAGATGTCTGCGTCACTGGCACATTCCTGGGCTCGTGAAACACCCTCCTTTTCGATGATATCTTCAGTTTCACGAATTCCAGCTGTATCGCTAACAATGACGGGGAATCCAGCAATGTTGAGTGGCACCTGCACAACATCTCGTGTTGTTCCGGCAATCGATGATACAATTGCGGCAGGCCGTCGTGCAAGAATATTCAGTAGACTGCTCTTTCCTGAATTAGGTGGTCCAACGATAGCCACTTGGACACCACTTCGCAGAATTTCTCCACGTCTGTTGTCTGCCAAGTGCTTGCGGATGGAATCAGCTAGCATACGAACTCTATCAAGAACCAATGAATGACGACATGTAACAATTTTACTTAGATTAATGATAATCATAAAAATTTTACATACCGATCCACCGCGGCTTCGTAAGCAGCATCTGTGACATCGTCTTCGTCATCTCCAAAATCAATTAAGGCTTCCGTGTAGGCGAGAGATTTCACGAGACTTTCACGCCATCCTTCATATATTTCTCCAATTTCTCCCGAAAGTTGTTGGAGTGCCTGACCGCGCTGAGCTTCTGTCTCAGCATTTAGCAGATCGGCCAGACCCTCCACTTGCACTAAATCGAGCTTGTTGTTGTTAAACGCTCGCTCAGTAAATTCTCCAGCTTCGGCAGCACGGCAATGCTGCATTATGAAATTTGCGATTAAAATTAGAAAGAAATTTACTAGCGGCAATATACTCACTGGCACATGGCTAAGTGCTTCCAGGACACCAGAAATCACTGCAACACTTCCATGGGTATGCAGCTCCACAATGTCTTCACCCGTAAAACTAAAATTTTGACATCCGAAATGAAACTTTTTCCATGCTGTTGCATTATATTATCAATTTATGTCTATTACCTATGCGGGTGTGGAAAACGAAGGACTAACGCGTCATCCAAGCGCTCCTTCGTTTTTGGGTGATAAAGTTTCCTTAATGCGGCACTATGTCATTTTGAAGTCAGAACCATTGATTGCATCACATTGAAACCAGATTATTTGTACTCACAGTCGAGGTCTTGGTAGCACTGAAGTCCGGCTCAGCTGCAGCAGACACGAATTCGCCTGATCGCCGGAAATGCGAATGACTGCTACCCCAGCCTTTCCTGCTGCAGAGGACAGTGCATAGATGGTTTCAAGCTCATAAACACCGACTTCACTCCCGCTTGCTCTTGTGTACCAGCGAGCATTGATAAACCGCCGAGCAGCGCAGCATCGTAGCGTACACAGCCGCTGGAGCATTGTCATTTGAGTGGCTTAATGTTTAATATTGATTTGTTTCCGTTAGTTACCTACAATTTTTAATCAATTATTTCTTTGAAAGTAAGCTCGACGTTTTAGATGGACAACGTCACTCTATCTAAGCACTCGAGCATGTCGTCGATGTCATTGCAATTAAAAGTTTCAGAGCTACTGCTCGTCACTAAATTAGCTCGGCTGATGAACAGATCATTCCGCAAAGAGAGTGATCGCGGGGCAATACTCTCAGTCTGCGGCTTATCCGGCGCATGGAGCTTTAGTACCATGTCAGACTTGGATGCGTTGTGCAAGCTTTTCAGCGCAGCAATGTCAACACCTTGACAGCTTAGAATTGAAGCATCTTCAGACGACAGTGAGGAAGCCATTGTGGATGCTGGAGACAGTATCGGAAGAGAGGTGAGTCGGCCCGATAAAGGTGAAATTGGCTGCAGCTGGGGCGGCATATCCATTTCATCGTAACAGTCCAGATACGCTGTAGCTGACATTGTGCTCCGCTCAAAAAAGTCGCCGGAGATTGCGCGTTTTTGCTTGCGCAAACTACGTTTTGAGACAAATCGCTTTATTTGCTCCTGTTCACTACTTGCCTGCAGCTGACGTTGCCATTGTTTGGTGCTCTCTGTAGGCTCCATTGAGGTCTTATGCTCAAACGGAGTGACAAGGCTATCATTTTGTTTGACGTTCAGCGAGCTTGACAAGCAATCTCTACCTGCTGGACCAACACCAAATACTTCAGCTTTATCTGGGTGACTCACGCTTCTTAAGCGTTGTTCTTGTAAGGAATTAAGAGCGCCTGACTGGCGTATAGTGCTGCTGCCTCCATGCTGATAACGCAGTTGACTTTGAGCCAGCTGATGCTTCTTTTGTTCCTCCTGCCATCGCTTATGACGACTGCTTTCAGTTGGGCCGAAGTATCGACTGCGTTTTAACCAGTGACTCACTTGGCGGTCCCGGTACTTTGTCAGTGCTTTGCTCTTTTCAGCGACAGCGCCGCGAATGTCATAGATTGCTTTGGAAATTGTGCGTAGCTTCACGTCGCCACCTGCACCCGTTACCTTTGGCGTTGTTGACACTTCTTCGTTTGGATCGTATAGCCACATCTCTGCTTGCGTACATGAGTGTCGTTGACGTGCAGGCGGTGCAGGCAAACAACGCGTTGTACTAGGCACCATCATTGTCACAACTGGCCTTGGAAATCCGCCACATATCGAAGCCCTCGATAGGGGGATGTCGTTTGTCACCGTTGCCAATCCACTTTCAGTCCACTGATCCAGCGTATGCTGTACTCGAAGCATGCTATCATCGCCAGAACAACAGCAAACCTCCTCATATCCATCAAACTCACCCGAGACTTCTCGCACTGCCGACCATGAGATCTCGCGCTGACTCGTACAGTCGGCATGTGTCCCCACGAGAAACAGCCTTCGTCCAATTACATCCACTAAAGGCGCCCATTGTGAAATGATTTCTGTAAGTGAGTCACGCCGCATGAGGTTAAATAGCAGCACAACAACGCCGTCGTCACTGTCTAGGACTTCTTTAGGAGTGCGCAGTATGTGCAGGATCGTTTTGCCGTTCCCAGTTTGACCAGGACGCTGCCAACAATACTGGGGTTGAGGTGCATTTTTCACACTCTCTGTGGCGCCCAAAGCATGAACAAAGCTCGTTTTGCCCACTCCGCGCGCACCAACGATCGAAATTTTATTGCTTCGCATGCCTCCTCAAACTTCTACACTTCAGCGACCCAACCTGCACCTTAACTCTGCGCTGATGTGAACTGAGTACAGCCACGAAGCACTGCACGGCCACCGATGCGATTTATCGAACCTCCGAGAGCAGTACACCAAAACCTTGGTACGCACCAGAATGGGGCCGAAGGAGAGTGGAGGGGCGCCCGTTAACTTTATTGTTACAATGCAGTGTGGTACCGTAGCTCGGAACAACCGTGCATATCAAATAGAGCCAGCCCTACTGACGTCACAGACGATCAGCGATCAGTTGGGACATTGGGTTGTCATTGTGCGGTAACGTGACACACTGTAAGTATTGTGAACAATGGTGTTGTCATTCATAGAATAGGGGTGACCGTTCGGTACTTATTCAGGAACAACATCGGAAAAATCTCAACAATTTCTGGTATTTATCCCGCTTAAGCAGCTGAGTGGTGAATAAAATCTCATCGTGTGTGCGTTTTATTAACGCGGACTCGTAAACTCAAGATACACTATGCCTTGAGCCTTGTACAGAAGAAACTTTGACATAAAGAATTCACATATGCCCCTCCTGTGTAAAACGGGAGGGGCTCGGCAACTTCAGGTGTCTTCATGTAACTTAGATATGTGCGATCCTTGCGTTCGACGACCAAATGCTATGCTAAGTAAAGTGGCAGAGGTGTTTTCTAGAAAGTACGGTCATAGTGAGTTTCCGAGTCGCAACCCGACACTACCATCCTCAATGAGCAAGCTACGAAGAATCCACTGAAAGACAGGCGTTCTGTTTGATCCGCCTCAACTCAGCTCAATTTACGCACTCCGTTTCCGACCTCAAAAACTGAAAGCGTTGCGACAC